CCTTTTTGATTGGAAAGTTGACAGATTGTGTTCTGGTTCATTGCCTTACTTTAAATGTGACTGGCGAAGCAGTCACTCCGATTTGTAAACACATTAAATGATTTGTCAGTCGGAAATTGGTCCGGAATTGTGGTTGCACAAAGTAGTCGAGAGCATTGTGGTCTGTGGCTAAAGATGCTGAATGAGGTTGACCTTTTTTGTCAGCCAAATAATCAAGTTGAAATGCATGCAGAAGTGAGTTCGTTATCTAAATAAAGTAGCCATTGGCTAAGCTCATAAATGTTTAATTCCTTAGTTACCAACTGGAAACTGCACTCGTTTGCCCAGCAATTGGCAGTCCTGCCGAATCACAACTAAGAGGACAAGTAAACAGATCCAGCTGCAGATTTTACGACCCCGTTTCTTTAATGCCTTTCAAGTCCCCAAAGCTGAAGTCAACTTACGATTTACGAGCAGCTCGAAGGAGGCCAGAAATTCACGTTCTACATTCACATTGCGATTCCCGTTCCCGTTTCCGCTTCCGTTCAGCTCGCAGGTCCAGTTCCCCCTGTCCTCCAGGGCGATGTGCTCGAAAACTAATGCCAGGAGTCCTGAAACAAAGGACAAACACGGCGGCAAGAACTCCATGGTGAGTTTCAGGTCAATCACAGGTACTGGGCCACTGGCTGGATGGGAAATAGTGGGAGTTCACTACTTCGAATCATAGTTGCTGCTTAAATTGAGTCGAGAATTCTTGAATTCTTGGAAGAAAGCCATTATTTATGCTCAAAGCAGTCTTGTGGTCGCCTGGGCACTCTTAATAGCTTCCTGTTTTGGCAATGATTTAATAAGGCGGCCATTATTCACAACCAGGTCGTTCCGCTCAACTTTCTCCCGTGCATCCTGCACAAGGATGCGCGGGCACAGCAGCCAGTGACTTTATCCGCTCGGCGGGGTCACCACCTTACCACCTTACCACCTTACCACTTACCCGTCGTCTTCTTCTCGATGTGGACGCGTCCCTTGGTGTTCTCACGGGTCTGTCCGCTGGGATCGCGCCACTTGGTGTCGATATCCTTTTGTACTGTCTGGCAGAAGATGATGAAGGATTCATTTACAAAATGCATTATTGATGGCGTCGAAGGCTGCAGGCTGAGGGGTGGCTGGGGCGGGGGCGGGGGCGGTGTGGCGGGGGGCAGGCTGCCACTGCCCCTCCCCCCGCTGCTCGTGCTGTCCAGCTGTCCGAGGATTGCAGCTGCAAGGGGCAAGATGGCAAGATGTGGCGCTTTTTGCATTAAATTTATTTATTTTCAAGGCGTAGTGTTGTTGACTTGGCTTGGCAGCTCATAAAAATAATCATAATTTATATGGACAGTTCCCCCCTCTTTTTTACGCCTTTTTTCCCAATCTAACGCGAATTTTTATTTGTTTTGCCCAGCATTTAATTAGCTGTCCGAATTGCTCTGAATATTTTAATTTCTTGCGAAATATGCGAGTGCCTCATCCATTTGGGCTGCACTTTTAATAGAAATTCCTCTCTGACATTTTCATTTCATAAATAGCAGAGCGAGAGGAGTTGGGGCAAACTATGGTCAACAATCATTTTGTTATTACAAAGGATGCAGCAAACAGCAAAAAAAAGTAACAATGCTATATTGGCACAATTTTTTCTTTATTTAGCTGTATTGATATAGTTGTAACTCGCCTGTTGTTTCTTTTACAATGAATTGTAGCAGTTTTTTTAGTTAAATGTCACACTTTTTGTATTTTAGCCAGTATTTTCATATGATTTCGTCAGCTTTTTATGGCGCATCCCAAAGCGGCAAATTCCTCAATTCCCCAAATGCGTTCGTATTTTTTATTATACTTTTCCGAGCCCAGCTACAAAATGGAGGGTAAACCCTCCTTTGGAATGCTTAGCTTTGGCCGGCTAAAATTTCAGTCAAACAGTTGGAGAGCTTTTGTGCAGACAAAATTGAAAACAAATATCCGAAACTATTTGCAAAAGGGATAAGAGCTTGTTTTACAACATGTTGTGTGTGATTTCTTTTTGGACATGCTGCTGACGGCTGGCTAAATTAATTATTGGTAATTGAATCTATAGCACCACGTGTACATACAAACGGAAACCATTGAAAACATAAGCCGGGATATGATATGTTTGCCGAAGTTTTTGGTGCATTTTTCCACAATAAATGTAAGCTAGAAACCAATACGTTGCTGATGTTGTATGTACGTGTATAATGTTTCAATTATTTAATGAATGGTCTTATCGAAAAACTGCTTGCTTAATAACGTGAACGCTTGTACTGCGTTTTTGCAACTCATTTTGCATGCAAATAAATCTGGAAATGGAAGCCATTTCGAGCAACTAACAAACTTTAGGCAATTGATTTGCCGAATTTCATCTATTATCGAATTGCGCTTTTTCAACTCAATCAAGAAGCGCACTCCACTTGCCATTTGAAATACTTGGCACAGAGAGCATCAAATCCATCAAATTGAATTTAATAATATTTTATTTGATGGGCAGGCAGTGTGGGTGGCGAACGTTGAAGCAAATTCAATAAAAATTCAAATTCGTAAGCAATATAGGAGCACACACATAAGTGGAGGTACAATTTCTGCAATTGGATTGTTAGGGTTTGGCTCCTTTGTGCGCTGCATATCAATCAAGTTCGATATGATGAGGGGCACCAGGAGAGGGATACGTGAAATTGCAGAGGTAATACACTGCAAACTTATTATGGAGGTTTTGCTAAGCAAAACGCAGCCACCAATCATCTTGATTGTGTTAGGCAGTGTAGTAGTTTTTATGCCTCAGCTGAGAACCCATCTTCCATCTTTCCCTTTGGCTCTGTATTTTTTAACTGGTAACTTGTTTCAAAGCCCGTCAAGTGGCTGAGTTGGGCACATGCTCATTTCGCCCCCACCGCCTTCCTTCGCCGTAATGAATTCCTTAGCACGGTTCCCATGAATCGTTTCATCTTCGAGAGGCACATGGCCATGGGCTAATTTGGGTGAAGGTTGAAGGCTGAAGGCTCCTCCGACGCTGACAAAGCGCTTGCACATGGCTTAGCACTACTTAAATGCCTGTGCATCCTGCTCTGTCGCTCGGCACTTGCCATTGCATACTTTTAGGCTGAGGGCGCAATGGGCGTATGTGTAATATTTCCATGCCACATTGCGTAGCCGCAAAAGATAAAAAATGTGTGTTTGGTCAGGGACAAGAGAAGTTGGTGAAAAAAACGGTTGGCCCAACAAAAAGTTTCCCTTTGAGAGGCTGTTTCCGCAACATTTGAAAGCAGATTTCTGTTAGCAAATATTTGTCTTAGTTGGATGCGCACGAAAAATGGAAAATTTAAGGGCAACTGAAGCTAAAAGCAGTACGAATATCAAAAGGTTTAAAAACTAAAACCATATGAACTAAAGTTTCAAATAGAGCAATTAAAATGTTTGAGCTGATAACCTATGTGCTTAATCGTTCTTTTGCCGCTTATAAAATATTTAGCTCATCAAGAAATTTGAAAAGAAATCCACAAACACAACACTCTGCAAAAATGCGAAAACAAAGGAATGCCAAAAGTGTTGGCCAAACAAATGAACTCATTTGGCATTCAGCTATGAATTTCATTATTCTGAAAACAAAGAGAGTGGAAAGGCAAAGTGAAAATATATTCCTGTGCAAAGAGTTTGCCCCAAAAGCGGTCCAACTTAACGTGGGACAAATGAAATCCTGCTTGGATCTAAGATTATCCTACCATTTTGCGAAAGGAGTAACAACAGCAGAGAGCAGAGCGCAATTAGAGTATCCATAGCTCAGCGAGGGTATCCTTTATGTGGCTATAATCCTTAATGGGCAATTCCACTAAATCTCGAATTTTTCGCAGTGAGTTTATTACACGTTTCTTTTTTCGTAGAGTAACTTGCGCAGTTAATTACTTGGTCGTGCACTTGAGGGATAATGGCACATGACTGAGCCGCTCATGTGTCACCCGGAAAAGCCGGAAAAGCGGCAACAACACTTTCACTTTCGGCCAGCACAATGGCATGACATCATCATCCAACTCAGGGCCAACATTTATGCTTTATATCTCTTTTTGGCTATTTCGCTTTGTGGTTCCTGGCCTGCTCGCCTTTTTTTTTATCTGCTTCTTAAGCACTAGCACTAGAGGAAGCACTCGGATCGGAGGAGGAGGAGGCCACCGGACGGAGGTAGAGGTCCGCGTAGGTTGACATATCCGGCAAACATATCCGGCGAGCGTTTTTACGTTCAATTTCCGCGCTCTACTTGGCTGACGTGCGGAGCCGCCGCTGGGGAATCCCCTGATCCATTGCAGGCGAACGTCGAGATTCGACTGAAACTGCACCACAGGACACTCGGCATCCACGGCGGATACTTGACGAAGTGCGAGTGCGAGTGCGAGTACGAAGTCCTCGGGATGACTTTCCCAGAAAGCGAGTCCTTCGATTCCTGCAGCCGCGCTCACGTTCGAACCGTTGCGAAATCAGAAAGTACACTGAAGTCATCGCTCGTCCTGCCACATCCTTGTTGCCCCATCGCCAGCAAGTCGGGCCGAAAAGGGAAAACTTCATCTATTAGGAACTTCGCTATGTTGGCACACTTTTCGTCGGCATTTCAGTTGGCAACTTCCTTACAGGCACATGTATCTAGGCATTTGCATTTCGAAATGTTGAGGACGGCATCTCAGGGGCAAGGATGCATGGGGTGAAAAGCATTCTTTGAGCTTTATTGCGGGGTAGTCTGTGCTTTTACACAACAGGATTGCAATAAAGCAGAGCTTTTGTGCTTAAATTACTATGTCGTTCCTGGCGTTTATAACAGTTAACAGCAAAATTCTCTGTAGATTCACAGATTTTCACCATAAATAAAACCAAGTTTCGGATTGCATTTCCAAAAATTTTACATTTAACCATTCTGTGCAATAAAACTTTATAAATTGCTGTAAAGCTTTTCGTACAAGCTTTTTCCCAGGAGAAATGAAAGTACATATAAAAGTTTTTAAATGTATGATTTCAATTTATTTACTGTTCTTCAAAAATGGGAAATAGGCCAAACTATTTGTATCTAGCGAAACAAACTGGTTGTCCATGCACATGTCAAAAGGCTTTATTCAGTGAATCCGGATACTGGGCTCAGCCGTAGTAGACGTACGGGGAGGCGTAGCCCACGGCCGGATAGCCGGCGGAGTAGACGAACTGGGGTACCGGGGCGGGATTTGGACTGGGTCCTGGAGCGGGAACAGCCATGGCAACGGCCAGGAGGGCGGCGACCAAGAGTAGTACCTGTGGGAGCGGACACAAAGGGCATTCGTTCAGCGGTTACGAGATCAAAGGCTGATGTCCTCCGGCAAGGCAAACACTCACTAGCTTCAGCATGATGACGAAAGGGTTAATTCTCGATTTGACAAACAAAATCGAACTGCACTCGATGTTTGCCAGATTGCAGCCTTTTATACAACCACAAACATTGGCGTTTTGAGTCGGATCTGAACCGCTTTGCCTCCTCCCCTCATCGCTGACTGCATCGCACTTTGGTATTCCACATGCATACCCGCCAGCCAAGTTTATGGCTCATTACGGCTCTCAATGCGCTCGTCTAATGCCTGCCAAATGTACTGAGCACAAAACAGCGTTATTGTTTCTTAATCTGTTTGCTGACGACATCGCCACCATCATCACCACCATCACCATCATCAGTAAGTGTGCCCCTCTTCCGGCGAGGCATCCACTTTCCATACTAACCCCTTCCCCAAAAGCCCCAAATGTGTGTCGTTCTTTTTGTCAACTCACTGTCCTTTCGCTGACTCTTTTTATATCGGCTTTTGGTTTCGTTTTGGCCGGCGGCAAACATTTGGCTTTATTGTCAATTCGATCGAGTTCGATGGGAGTTTAAGAATACATGATTTCGCAATTTTGATGCAATACACTTGCAGCCGGAATTGAAGTCGATGAGATAAGAGGATTTGTTGAAGATAGAGGGATACTGAAACCGCTTTTTGAATTGTTAAGCGAGGGAATATAGAAGTTATATACTTATAGGTATATACTCTATATTCTATATAGAATCTTGTGTTATGCGTTTGGAATATCATTCGATTTCGTGTATGAGTGAATGAGACTAACTATATTGGGTAAGCATAATAATCTTAAAAGCCATCTTAGAATAGTGTTTATGAAAAAGAGCCTGAAAAGTTTAAGTCGCAAGTGCATTTCTAGCCTTTTGGAATTGATTTGAATTCAAAAAGGGAATCAATACAGCACCTGGTGTACCAGTGATATTTAATGAGCCAGTATTCTGTAAATAAAATTATTCTGCGCAATTTATTACTAATTACCAATATTAATTCCGCAAACAATTGTCATCACGATAGTAATCGCATCAAACACAATATAATTCGCAATCACATTGGGTACACCCGACGATGTCTTCCAATCATTAATCACCTGAATGGTAGACCAAATTCGAGACCCGAAATTCCCAATTAAAATGCAATGAGCGTAGTAAGAAATATTCTCCAGTCTCGGACTGAAATCACGTTCAAGGCCAGTCTATATCAAGGCGATTCCATCACCATAGATCGCCGGAGAATAAGAAGTCATTAGAATGCGAAGGAAATTTTGCTTTTGGCTTGACAAAAACTATCGCAGTAAAAATAGAAAATAAACCTATGGCCGAATGATGTGAGCAAAACAGAAATGGCCATAAATCGGATCAGAGTCCAGAAGTGCGACATCATAAATAAGTCATGAGTGCGAATTTGGCCGTATTTGGCCGGCTGGCAGAGGACTATATAAGAGTGCTGGCAGGTGGGGAACAGCATCAAATCACAAACTGCAATCGCTACACAAGCACCTCAAGTCCTCAAGGAAAATCAAAGCAAACAACATGTTCAAGCTGGTGAGTTTGGGGCAACACGAGCAGAATCCTTGTGCATAGGAAAAGTTGAGCAAGCTAAATTGAAGCTTCACTGTCAAGTTTTAATACCATACAAAAATCGTTAAAGTTCATTGTTGTACCATCCTTTTTCCTCTCCTAGCTGGTTGTCGTTTTCGCTGCCCTCTTCGCCGTTGCTCTGGCTGTGCCCGCTCCAGTTGCCCGTGCCAATCCCGCTCCTATCCCGATTGCCAGCCCCGAGCCCGCCCCCCAGTTCTACTATGGAGCCAGCCCATACGCCTACTCCGGAGGATACTACGCTTCGCCCTACTCCTACTACGGCTAAGTGCCCTGGACAATGCAAACCGACAAACGACTCGTGATTATGCATCTGAATACGGATTACGGATATGCGCGTGCTGGCAAATCAAATTAGTCATAAGTGCTTGAAAAATGCAAAAAAAAATAACAAAAGTTGAACAAATTAAACGTTGAAGAGCAAATTACCATGCATTTCTGCGATTAAACCTTTTACCTTTTGAAAATCATCCGCATCAAGGGCCAGCGGAAATTCTCAGGTGCCGTGGACGCCACAGCGACAAGCGGTTCCATGGTGTAATGGTTAGCACTCAGGACTCTGAATCCTGCGATCCGAGTTCAAATCTCGGTGGAACCTGAATGAGAAAAATTTTTTATATCTTTTTATTTTTTAATACATTAATTAAAACTCTTCTTTAGCTTCAGACCTATATTAATAATCCTTAGTGTAATTTAGTATAGACTGGTAAGTACCATCAGCTTAAATTCTAAGGACTCACAGAAACTAGAAAAATTGTATGATGGTATTCGAACCAAAACGGTTGATATTTTTTTACTTGAAAATATTTGAATAAATAAGCAATAATGTTAAATAATAATATAAATATTTATATTTATTTAAATCAAAGTTAATGACAGCCATCAACAAAGTCAGCATTTTCACGTGTTGTAGAATTTTTATGGGTTTTGTCGTTTAGCCATCAACTGGTTCCATGGTGTAATGGTTAGCACTCAGGACTCTGAATCCTGCGATCCGAGTTCAAATCTCGGTGGAACCTGAGTAGAAATTTATTATAGATATTTTTTTTTTTTGACTTCATTATATATAGTGTTTATATATTTAAAACAAAACTTTATACCAAATCAACAATACTTAAATTAACTACAGATGATAATGTTATTTAAACTATATCAAGCCGTGAGTGGCTTATCGTGGTTGTGGCATCTACTTAGCGATAGGTGTCCCCGCTAAACAGCTGTTTCGGCTGCCATTGTGAATGGTCACAGTGGATTTCCGCAGTATCAGATTGACAGTTGCAGCCAAAATCGAAGAAGAAGCAGCGCAGTGCATTTATTTTGCTCTCGCTGCATTTTTACACTCTGCGCTTTTTTCTGCATAAATCATTCGGCACAAGTAACTTAATACCTGAAATAATGCTCGCCTTGTTTATCGCGTGTGGCTATGGATAGTGTTTTGCTGCTCGCTAATTTTCCGCATTCGTAGCGCCAAATCAAAAATTCTCGTCCACCGCTAGAAAGAGACGGTTGCGCGTTTAATCGGACTCTCAAGATTATGTTGAAACGCTCGCTAAAGGTCCTAATTGCCGTGGTGTTGAGTTTGATGTTCACCGTTTCGCTGGTTAAAATAGTGCTATTGATTTGGTCCTCGCATCCCGTCGCCCCGCACAGCGCCCCGCCCCTTCCCACTGTCGACGAATGGCTGGAATCGGAGAACCTAGCGTCCTACAAGCAGTTATTCCGAGATAAAGGTGAGTTCGCAAGTGATTGATTTATCGCCAAGTGCATTATCAAAGGGGCCGTTGCATTGTGGCTTATCGAAGGTTAAAAGTCGCTGCCTGTGGGCTATTGTTTATAATTTAAAATTGTTGTATTTCCTGATGGGGTCTCTCCCCGTCCCATTCTTTCCCGCTCACTGAAACTTTCGGTACTTTGTTGACGAATTGAGCTTTCAGAGCTTTCTTAACACACGTGCTACGATAAAACTTGTTATTTTCGGTCGACCAAACAAATGGAGCATGATTTCGTTAGAACAATGGAATGATCATTTATTTTATTTCCGATTAAAAGAAAAAATGAACTTCAGGTTCCACCGAGATTTGAACTCGGATCGCAGGATTCAGAGTCCTGAGTGCTAACCATTACACCATGGAACCTCACTGATCTCCCGTTTTTCTAAAGAGGCTCAAAAATACCATCGGAACGTGTAAATTCGTTAAATATCGAAATCTAATTTAATACATATCAAAATCAAATAATATAATTTATAAAGAACACTAGTTTACCTAAATAAAAAAGAAAAAAAAAGTCCGTATAGGTTCTACCGAGATTTGAACTCGGATCGCAGGATTCAGAGTCCTGAGTGCTAACCATTACACCATAGAACCTCTATGAGCGAAAAATGCCAAGAGTTACTTTTCCAGTGCAAGTAGACAGATTACCAGCCGAAGATCATGGAAAAGAAAGTTGCTCAATGATATTCCCATCTAATTCTGTACCATCGAGTTGTTATTGTTTTTTGTTGACTGGCAGAACGCCAAAAGATAGTTAATATTTTCTTTGTTGCTAGGGCTATAAAAAGGTTGATAAACTTGTCTATGACCTCGCGGCGTTGGAATTGTTTAACCCTCGTTAATCAATTAATTCCTGTTGGCTTGTTTATTAGACAAAGTTTTAGTTTTGTGTTAAGCTTAACAGTTCTTCCATGAATCGGAAATATTTTGTTTAATTACTATCGCACTTAATGTATTATTAAATATACATGTTCTTCTCCTTTTTTAAATATCTTAATTTATAATATTTAGAACAATAATAAAACCAACAAGTTCAAAAATCAATTAGGTAAAAGTGTTGTTTTGGAGTACAGTAAGGGCGCTCACTTAAGCCTTTTGGAATTGGTTGCTTAGAAATAATGAAATAAGCTAATTAAGCAAGCACATGGTGCCGTGCCTAATGATAATGTAATTTTAATAAAGCCCGCCAAACAAAAAACAACCTGCTGGATTTGTGGAGGGTGTTGGGGAGGAGGAGTTGGAAGAGGAGGAGCCCAGGATGCAGCAAAAGCTCATTGTGTCCGAAAGGGGTCCTCGTGCATTTTCGGCTCCTTTCGCGGGACACGAGCGTTTTCTGTGTCACTCGGCTTCGGTTTTCGGAGTGTGGCTTTCGGTATAAAATCAATCGTAAAAGTCCTTAAATGCTCAGTTTTGGTTTAACTTTGAGACGCGCTGGTTTCACATTTCCACACGCCTGGGAAACCGCCGCGTTTTTCCCCGTTTTTCCTTGGTACTACGGCAAAAACAAATATTACAAAAAGAGAAATACCAACAAAACAGAAACAGATAAAACCAATAAAAAAGACCAATATAAATGGCCGAAATACGCCAAAAGTTATGATTTGTTGTGCTCCATCGCGTTCAGTTTTTGCTCATATTTCATTCCACTTTCCATCCTTTCCACGCAAAAGTTGTCACAACATTCCGTGACAAC